GCTTTTCTGATCATTTATCTGGCTTCTTGTATAAAACAGATTGATTGCATCATGCCAGAAAACGTGCTTGGATTGCTTTGCAGTAGTAGTTATGTCATTGAAATTACTAGAACAAGGTGCTGAAAGTTAGATCCTAAATCTAGGATCATTACAGATAATGGAAATCACCAGCAAGACTGAAAGGCACCATCTGCAGGAGTAACTGATGGGATGCTGACATCTGCTCCAGCCTCAGTCATCATTGTGGACCACAGATTGCCCGACTGCTTGGTCTGTGGGGGTTACATTCCTTCAGACCAGAATTAAAGTGGGTATCTTTTGTGAGGTTTGGCTGTTGACACACGCTTACAGGTGGAAAAAAAGAAAATTACTCTGAGAGAGACCACTTGGGGCTAATGCTTTAACGGCATGAAGCTGTATAAGGGAAAGTTTAGGTTATATATTCGGAAAAAGGCACTCTCAGGGGGTGAGTATTGGGTATTGGAAGAGGTTTTTTGAGGAAGTGATCACAGCATCAAGCATGTCAGAGCTCTAGAAGTGTTTGGACAATGGCCTCAGGCACAAGGTGTGATTCTTGAGGTGGTTCTGTGCAGGGCCAGGAGTTGCACTCGATGTTCCTTGTGGGTCCCTTCCAACTCAGCATATTCTATGGATTCTACGTGGGATTATGGACATTGCAAGGGAGCCATTTCTCTTCAGATAACCACCTGAGGACCATTCTGCATGACTCACGGTTTGAAAGCTTCCATTTACATTTCTTTAGAGAAGGATAAAACTGTGCAGACAACTGTTTCAATGTTGGTAGTGTGTGTCACTATTTCTAGGATATTTCCATTGCATACAGTTAAATCAGTGCTATCAGTTTCCACATAACAGGTTCTGAGTCAGCATCCCTGCCAAAATCTTGGCCAAAGCTCTATTTTGAGTTCATGATATTCATATCTGCACCACTTTATTCAAGGTGGAGTTTTTCCTTTCTTGGCCCTTCATAAGGCAGGAGTGAAGAGAAAGGAGTATGTGTCCTTCATCAGCTAAATGGCTGAAACTGTATGTGGAAGGCAGCAGTTCCTTGGCATTTCATAGTGCAGGGGCAACTCCCCTTGCCAGGACTGACTTTACTTCTTCCCCACTCCAGCCACTGCCTGCAATTCCTCCTGTCCTGCAAAAAGCTACAATAAAGGGGAATGTACCATTGTGAAACCCTCAGCTACCAACCAGGGCAACCCACTCGTGGCCAGCTGTTAGTCTGGCAGGCTAGGGTGCAAACCCAGGAGAGCTCCCAAGAGTAACCTTACCTAAAGCTTTCCCTCCATATATTACCCATCTGGCATTCCAATGAAGATCACATTTGCCCTTCTCCTCACACACTGAGCCTCACCAAAGGCCTTTGTGAGAAATTTAGAGGTATGAATTTGCAATGTTCCTGTCACTTTTCATGGTGAAGGTCTTGGGTGGTCTTGGTGACTGCAAGGTGTCTAATTCCTGTGCAAATGCCATTTGTTGCAACATAAGCTTCATACAAGAAGAGATGCTGCAAACTATTAGATGGGCTACAAACCTACTTTTCTGTGAAGAACATGCTAAGTGTATTTGTAGTCTTCCTTTTCTAGTAGATCAAATAACATTTTTTTTTTTTAATAAGCCTCAGGCATGAATGTTTATTGGCTCATCACTAAGTTGAAGACTTAAGAGTTGGGAACAACTGCATGTTGTCTCTTGAGATGCTGCCTTCAGATGAGTGGGAGTCTGTCACTTTTACGTGGAAATGTAAGTATGATAACTTACATTCCCTGTGAGGAAACTGTGTAGTGTATTACAAAGAACTGAAGAGTAAAAGAGAGAGAGCAAGCCACAAAAGCAAATGCATATGACTACAGTGCTTTGTGGCTTTTGCAGTGGAAACAATACCACAGAGCTCGCTCTGCCTGCAAAGAACCAGCCAATTGTCAAGGCTATGCTTGGTCCTCTGCTCTCCTGTGTGTCAGAAGATGGAGATCTCTAACAAAGCAGTGTGGTAAATAGGGGTCAAGCATCCTCAGCTGACAGGTCTAACTGAAGGCAGGATCATCACCACTGCACTGGGAGACATCTACTTTTCTATCAGTGCCCTGGTTTGGTAGCTGGCGCTTGTTTAACCCACTGGTGTTACTTCCTGTGTGAGGGGTAGGAGAGAGGGTGTCTGCAGTGAGCAGAAGAGTGTGAGAGCACATTTATCTACAGGCCTGGCAGACCTCGTCTTGTCCTGCCCAGTACAGCTTGGGGGGCAGTGTCTGGGCTGTGGCCACACACAGATTCAGGCAACAGCTCTCTCCATGCTGTCCCTCTGCCTTGGGGGGATCACCAGCTGCTATGGTAGTTTGCTCTGCCAGTGCTCTCTGCTGTAGATGTGTTTTCAGGATGTGCTTCCTGTACCACACTACTGAAAGTCCACACTGGCCTCCAGCCCTCCTTTATGGCAGCAGCCCAAAGCTGCTGTGCTTTCTAGAGATACCTTCAGACATCTTCTACTTAATGCCTTCCCTTGAGGCTTTTCTTGGAGGGAAACAGAGACATCAGTGCATGAACTTACAGTGTTTCCCTCCCAGTAACGTCCAGAAAATCCCTTCCTCCTTCCAAAATTGGAATCAAAGCCCAATCAGGGCTGCAGCATGGCATTGTCTTGCTCCTTAAGGGAGGGAGGGTAAAGCTGGCAGGATATCACCATCTCCCCACTTCTCATCTGGCAGGAAGGCTGAGGTTAGAGACATGGGCTGCTTTCTCCTTGTCTAGCTGGGTCTGATGGTGCAGGAGGTTTCTGATGCTGGTTAGAAAAGGGGCTGCTCGGTGGGATGGACCATGCACATGCCAGAATCTCCCAGGGAATCCTTGTTGCAGGTAAGTGGTTTGGCTCTTCGCACGTCCGGCCGTGCTTTTGTCACACAAAATCTCTAAGCAGGTTGATTTTGTGCATATGCACCCAAGTCCTCAGAAATATGCAGGCCCAGTGTCACTTCTGTGGTGTACAGTGAACAGGGGACATTGAGCTCACATTCACTGCTCACAGTAAGCTCATTTTTGAACAGACCCTCCAGGATTGGTTTCTTGCTCTAGTCTGCCTGTTGCTCTAAGAGAAACAAGGATGTTTGGTGTGCTGTAACTGGTCTGCTGGAGCACAGGGGCTTTCAGTCTGACTCATTTCAGCTGTCATTTTACAAGAGCATGAGTGGGCCTGACAAACTGATTCCCTGGAAGTCATGGTCTTCATTGTTAATAGAGGGAATCCTTTTACACCTTGTTCTACTGCTATGGAGCTTTAACTCACTTTTCATGCACACACATACCTTTCCTTTTGTATTCAATTTGTACCAATTCCAGTTTCTGCCTGCAGCTCCACAGCAGGCAGCTTCTTGTGAGCAGTATGGCACTGAGCAGGCTGTGTGTGCTCAGAGCAGGACAGACCTTGCCCCAGCGTGTTCCCAATTTGAGTGTGTGACAGACAACACACAGGCGGACACTGGAAGCAGGTGGTGGCTTTGAGGGATGTTTTCTTGAGGAAGAAAGGAGCTGAGCAAAGTGTGGCAGTGGTTTCAGTATGCTGGGGACCTCCCTCCACTCTGCTTGATGGACCCAGTGAAAAAAATGAAAAAAAAAAAAAAGCAGGAGGAATTGGTGTTGCTGCCTTTGCCCAAAGTCATTTTAAGTACTTGGGCTGGAAGCAGATGTGTCCAAGAGATTGATACAACCTGCTTGGCTGGGGAGATACCTGGGCACGGTTGCCCCTGCCCTCAGCTTGCTTTTTCCAGAGAGGATGGAGGTCAGCACAGAAATGTCATCTCACTCTTGCTGTTTCCTCTCTCCTTTTGCATGTACCCCTGCTGTGCATTCTATGTAAGGAAATAATAACAGAAAGAAGGAAGAAAAGCCGGGTTTAGAGGCAGCAATACTGTGACTTCAGTGCATTTTACCTCAGATAAATTTTTCTCCTTTTTTTGCAAAAAGCGGTGTTTTTTACCTCATTTGTACCAGTTAAAAAATGATGACGCTGGAGAAGAGGAGGTATCTTACAAGACCTTCCTTTAACTTCAAGGAAGAAGAACAGTACGAATGAACAAGAAAGAATTCTCTAATACTGTACATCTCCAGTGTTCTTCAGTCTTCTTTCTTGGTCTATATCTGTGATAAAAAGCTGGAAGATTTCAGTGGCCACTGTAGCCAGAGGAATTGTGCTGAGGAGGGTAAGATTCAAAATCCTCACCACCCCATCTGTTTCATATTGGAATCAGGAATAAAGATTTTATTATCTTCTCATGTGTTTTTGGACCTAGCTCCCCTGCCTCCTCACAGTGTCTTTCCTCATGCTCTTTCCCACACCAGCCAGCCTCAGGGATGGTTTATGGCTACATCCAAGGCTGTGTTCTCATCCCCTTCCATGCTCATCCCTCTCTCACAGCTTGCCCAGATGCTGGCCCTGCCTGCAGGATGCCTTTGTGGCACTGGCCAGCCCCTCATAGATCAGATGTTGATGTGAAGCTGATTCCTGATGGTTTCCAAGAGAAGTGTGTCTCCTTTGCAAACGCTGTCCGACAGCCAGCAGGCACCTGGTCCTCATGGGGGGTCCTGGGTTTGCTGTCCCTTTGCTGCTGCTAAGACTAAGGGGGAGAAGAAGGATTTGCATCTCTCCCCCACCCAAAAACTGCATCCATCTCTTGAGGATGGCGGCTCATGGATGCTGGAGCAGAACTCTCTGGGTGAACACTGAAGAGGAGAAGGACCCAGCTGGCCCTCCAGCTGGGTGGGCGAACCTCAGGGGAACTCCTGCCTTGAATGTGCATTTTCTTTGTTGCTACACATTGTCCCCATCCTGACAAAACCCTCCACTGAGAGGTATTTCTGCTCCCTTTTTTTTTTTCTTTTGTGTCTATGCTAGAAACGAGAAGTGCCGGGGTGAGAGCTGGAGGAGGGGAGGAGGGCACAAGGGCTGGACTGACACGTCCCATGACTGCTCATAGCAGAAAATCCTTTCACCTGCCAGGAGCTGTCATTTGACAAGGCGACACTGGAATTTTTTTTGACCCTGAAAATGAACTTTGGGAGGATTTTCCTAGTCAAGTGCATGCTGCTTTTATTTCCCAGTCTAAAATGTGAGTTTTTCTTACTCTTCTTTGCTCTTTCAGACTAACATTAAAATTGCATTTTAAGCCATTTACAACTTGGTGGGCTGTTACTGATAAGAAACTAGTTCCACTTTTCCAATGAGTGAAGACATCTGGGTTATTGCTAATATTATTTGATTTAATTTTCAGCCGGGGGGAGGGCAGGACCTGAGTTTCCTATTCCAGTTACAATAATAAGCTGTAAAGAGTTTTGGTTTTAAGTTAATGAGCCTTAATTTGACACATGTATAATGAGAAATGTCAGCACGCAGTTTTCTTTCTGCCCTCAAGGTAGCTTGTACTACATTAGAGATCCTCTGTTCACTGTGCATTATCGCATGTAATTTCCTTTTCTTATCGAAGATGTGCAAATCTTCTGAAAGTGTAATTTATATTCTTCCATAAATATTAAGAGAGTGATATATTTCAGTGTCTTCAGTGGAGCTGATGCCTAAAATGTGAAAACAGCAAGTAAATACATATATCTTTTACATTTTGCATATTATTGTTCTCATTATTTTTTAAAATATTAATCTAAAAACTTAATTAGGGTGTTAACTCATAGATTAGAGAAGGTTATAAGAGATAGAGACAACACAAGCATGCATAACTTTTTTTTTTCTCTGTTTCCTTCCACTGCAGATTGTATGTATGGCTGCTTAATGCTCTGCTTTTCCTTCAGAACAAAATTAATAGATAAATAAAGATTTTTTTTTTTTTTAATGTAAATGACCTATGAAACATTCTCCAGCAGAAATGATGACTATTCCCTTGAATGGAAAACTTCTTTCAAAGACTTCCTTCCTTCTCTAAAGTTACCACGGGAACTTCTAGCTCTTTCTTGTGACCGTGAGTGAGCTCTGGGCTCTCAGTTCAGACCTTTCTGCCCCTTGGAGCACATTTCAGTTGGCATTTTTTAACAGAAAAGTTTCATTAGCTAAACAGATTTTTAGGATATGTGTGGGATACTCAGCTTTCCATTTAGCAAGACTACAGGGATCAATCTGATAGTTGTGTCTCGGTCTGTTCACAGAGGTGCCATTGAATTATCTCTGGAAACTCAGATTACTTTTTCCCTTTACTTTCAGAGACGAAATATAAGTAGTTTCTGTTATGCAAAGAAATCCTGTTAATAGCTCTCAATAGTTGTTCATGACTGAGCAGAAACAAATACCAGAATTCAAATATTTGGGTATAATCTGTAGTGTCATCTATGTGAGGCATAGCTGCTTCCAAGGCTGTTTAGTTGATACCTTGATTTCAGGATATGTCATATACTTTGTAAGAAAGGCACTACTGAAAGAACAGCCTCTCTTTAGACTGAATTTAGGTGAATGTGCCCAGAAGCACTACAGCATTAATGTTCTTGTTGCAGAGGCACAGCATTTTAGCTCTTTGATTATATCTAATATTGTTAGCTTAATGAAATAGCCACTGGATTTCAGTTTCCCCTCTGTGGGGCAGTTTGTCATTATCCTAGATATGAGGAATAAAGGACTAATAAAAATATGCACAAATATAGTTTTTCTCTCTGTGGGGAAAAAGTACTTAAAGTATATAAAATTAGAGCAGAATCAGCTCTTCCTGCTGATTGGCTTCATCCTGTAAATTGAGGAGGAATGAGCATCAGACAATGAGAAATGAAATAAGCTGTGGCCCTGAGCGCATGGTTGGTTGCCAGTGAGCTTATCCCACCTGATGCTCTCACACAGGTTTCCACCTCCTCCTGCAGATTTTCCACCTGCCTCGGGGGTGGGGACAGCACTTGAAATGACCTCCCAGCAAACTTTGCACTCTGAAAATGTGGGGTGGGTCCTGCAAGGGCCGTGTGTGAAGCAGACTGGAGGGGAGCGGGCAGGGTGCCTGGGCACGGCCCAAAGGGTCTGTCATCCCCTCAGGTCAGAACGTGTAGACTTCTGGTGTCCTTGACTCTCCTGAATATCCCCTTTGGCAGCCCCACGCTGGAGTGCTGCCCAGTCCCTTGGGAAGCTCGTGCTCTTAACTGCTCTGGAGAAGGCAGCTGTCAACAAAGGAGGCCTGCAAAGAGAAAAGGGTTTTTTTCGCCTTTGCTTATGTCATAATGTTTCCAGCACCCCCTCAGTTCACAGGATGTGAGTGGTTGTTTGTTTCTGGCTGCCTTACTTGCCCCACCAGGACTGTGTCCTAGGAAAATCCAGTGGATATATTCCAGTGGGGCAGGGTGCCTGGGATGAGTGAGGAGGGGGCACTGCAGTGGGTCTGCCTTCAGTTCAGTGCCTTACACTCACTGCTTCTACGGGCTACTATTATTATAACTATTGTTATCACTGTTGTTGCTGAGCAGATCCTACTGTCCAGGGACACGACTGGTCTGTGTTCTTGCTGCCTGCAGTAATGTTTGCAGTGATGGGTGCTCTGGGTATCAGCGCGTACCATGTGCAAAACACACCAAAGCCACCTTATTTTCAGGAAGGGTTAAGTTCAGGGTTAAATACGTGGGCAGCCATGAATCTTGGCATCCAGAGTCACTCCAAGTAAGTCAGCCAGAGTACAAAAAGTCAGCTTTTGAAAGCTGGACTCCTAGCTTTCCTGCCTCTCAGAATTAAAATGGATGCTGACATTTATCTAATGACCAATCAAGAGGTGCTTTGGGGAAGAAGATGGCAACAACAGTGCAGGGAGGCTCAGACAACCTGGAGAGGAACAAATGACAACCTTTTGGGTGACCGCTGTGGCTGCTGAGCTCGGCAGCAAGGGCTGCTGCAGACCACTGATGGGCTGGTTGTGCTTCCCTTAACAGGCTCTGTCGTCAATAGGATTTACAAGGCAGTGAATGAGACGGCTCTTCTCAACATCGCTGCTCCTGGGGACATATATCATGCAATATGGCACAGAGATGGACACAGGTTGGTTCAGATCAAAAATAAGGAATTTAAGTACTATGTGAAAGAAGACCAGTGCAGGTGTAAGATACTCGAAAATGGGACTCTGCAAATACATCACGTGGTGAAAGCGGACAGTGGAAATTACAAAGTGATTGTTTATCAGCATGATGGAAGATGGAAGGCAGAAGAAGAGACAAGGTTCCTTGTTCAGGGTGAGTTTCTGCTTTTCCCATACCATTCCCTGCACAGCTGAATAGGACTTTTTTTTTCTCTCCTGCAGCCTTTCCTACTCATTGCCCCCCTTTATGATTTGGGGGCAGGGGGACTTCTGTTAAAGATGTACCTTCTTTCTCCCACCACTGACAGCAGTCTGCCTCTCTTCTCCCTTCTCTTGCTCTTATTGATGGCCTGAGCCCCCTGGCTTCTTTCTGGCTCCCCTGTTTATCAGCCACCAGATTTCTACATGTGCCCAAGAAAACAGCTGTGAGCAGGTTTGTGTTGAGAGCAGGGTGAGCATGGTCGGCCCTACTGCAGCGCCACAAACGGTGCTGGGACCTGGGCTGGGGTAGCACCCTGCGAGGGGGACTGGGCTCCCAGCAGCATCCTGCTTCCAGAAACCTCACATAGGCTGCTGTGCTCCCACAAAGCACAATTAAGCACACACCTGGGGATTTCAGCTGCATGGATTCAAAGCACGAGGGCTTTCTATGCTGAATCTTGTCCTTAGGGATCAGAGCAGTAGCAGCCCAAAGTTTTTCTGATCAACAGGGAAGACAGGGGATAGTTATTCTGCTCTTTTATGGCTGCTGCCTTCTCTCCAGACCTCTAAGCTGTAGGATAACATGGATTTTTTTCCTCAAAAAGGAAGTAGTTTTGCTCTGTCCTTCTTTAGTCAGCGTGCACATATTTGCCAACCTCTCAGGTTCCTGGGCACTACAGAAATGATGCCCTGATGAGGCAGCAAGGACAGCTGGAATGGTTTTATCAGGGTTTCTGTGCAATGGGAAGCCCTGTGTCTGAGGGGCTGCTGAGCCATGAGGGTGTCTCATTACTTTGGGAACTGTTATTGCAAACAAATTCAGGGAGTCATCAGGGCCTGATGCTGCATGGTCATGTTTTAAGCCACTGAACTGTCATTGGGTTGTCCTCATTTCAGGTTAAGGTTTCAACCCAGCTGTGTACATTTCCTCCATGGTGCAGCAGTACTGTGCAGAGAGGTTGCCTTACCTCTGACACACAGGTAAAGCCCTGTAGTAACTGCTGGGCACTGGAGTAATTTGTCAGCCAGGTTACCCCATTGTAATTAGGGTTGGACAAACAGTCGTTAAAAAAAAAAAAAAAACAGTTTCAATGATATCCTGACACAACTCCATCACCAGCACCTGGACTCTAGTGTTTCACGCTGGGATGTTCCCCTAAATAATAGGTTAGAGTTTGCAGAAGAGGAGTGGGCTTACCAGGGAAAGGGTGGCTGCAGATGTCATGGTGTGAACCCAGACTGCATGTGCCACAAACAGCCCTCACTGCCTTTAAAATTTAAGATCTCCATAACTTACACTGCCTGTAACTAGAGGTGACCCCGGCAGGTTTTTATTTACCTGTTCCAACAGGTGGACTCTGAGATTAGCTCAGTTCATAATGTCAAGGTTGTGGGTGTGATCCCTGTAGGGGCAATTCACTTTTGAGTTGAACTTGATGATGCTTGTGATTCTCTTCCAACTCAAAATATTATGTGAATTTTTTTTCTCCATTTGCTGTCCCTGCCATTTGCCCCTAGTCAAGGAGAACCCCACATGCTCTTCTGGCTTTTTCAATGGCACCAGTGATAGAGAAACTGGAACCAAAATGTAACTACTTGTTTGCAGGGCGTAAGAAGAGATAGAAATCTGTTTTCTCTGTCATAACCTCACTGAGAGCTGAGGTGCCTGTTTTGTGTTTTCCATTCTGGGTTGATGGGCTTTCATGCTGTGGCTGTTGTGCTGGCTGAGTGCTGTAGGTAGTACACAGAGCATCATCATAAGTAGTTGTTTTTTCTGCTTTAGAGAAAATCTCTCCTGATGGGCACAGGTAGAGCAGGGCCAACTTCATTTGCACCTAAACACTAGGGCTGGAGTTGGAGGGGGCTGTGAATCCCTGCTATCCACCGCCTCCCTGGAAACCCAGCTTCCTCCCTTCACCTGCCTGGCTAGCTGGGAGCCAGGCTGAGCCTGAAAGTAGTTCAGCCGCAGTGGTGCAGCTCTGCTTTGCTGGGCCAAACATGTAGGGTACTGCACTGCACTGCACTTGATTTATTATGGCCATGTTACTTCTGCAGTAGGGGCCTAATTTGCTCTTCATTCTTCTGTTAGCAGGTTCATTCTCATTATCTGGTTATTTGGGGTTAATTCTCTGTTCTGCTTATTAACAGAAGTTTTCAAAAGGAGAAACCATCTCAGATGTGCCTGTCCCTTCTCTTCTTTTTCAGAGCCTGTCCCTCAGCCAATCCTCAGTGCTGAATGCATGAATAAAACTGTATATGTCAAGTGTGAAGTGCAGCACAAGGCTAAAGATGAAGAATTTACAATAGGACTGACTCAACCCAATGGCAGAAAAATCCAAAAGAATGCAACTATGTTGGAATTGCAGACACGGCACTCGGGGACATTCAGATGTGCTGTTAAGAACCAAGTCAGTGAAAAAATGGTTGAAAAAGCAATTAAGTGCTCAGGTAAGAGCTTTCTTTTGTCAGAATCTGCTAGGATGGACCCACACAGCCTGATGCAGTTTCACGTACCTGTAGGACTGGTCCAGGTGCCAGGAGAACAGATGGTCCTGGGTATTCAGTACTGGGAGACACAGTCACTGGGAGCTGATGGTGCTGTGGTAGCCAGGATGTGAGTGAGGCCTGGGGGTTGCAGGAAGAGTGAAACAGGTTTTTGTGGACTCAAGAGCCTTATGGGTGGTAATGAGGCCTCCAGTGCTCACTGCAGTGCTGTTCCCACTCCTGGTGATATCTTCTGAGGGAAACTTCAGCCTCCCAGACAGATCAGGCTGTCTCAGGGTGAATGAATCAGACAGATTCTTGGTCATCCCATCATTTTCTCCCTCTACTCCATCACTGCTTCTCCCAAAAGCTGCCAGGGGTACCCTAACAGATTTTTTGGTGTCAGCTTCCTCATAGACTTGAGTGGTGTCAACCACCACTAGTTTACTTCACACCAGTGAAGTAAAGAAGAAAGTAGGGAAGTTGGCCTAAAAGTGTTTTAATGACATACAACAGTCTGCAAAAGGCAGAAAGCACTTTCCTCTCAATTTTTATCCTCCTTTATTGCTTTAAAAGTAATGGTACTTCCCAAAGGTTGACTTCAGTCAAGTGGTCCAAAGCCAAAGAGTTGTCTTCAGATAAAACTACGCAAACTACCACAACATAAAATAACAGTTTGGTTTTGGCCTGGGATCTTCTCATGTGTATATGAAACCACAACACTGATTTCAGAGGATTTGCTTTTGATTTGTATCCTCATAATGGAGAAGTCACTTGTGTGCTTTCTCCTCTGCATAATCCTATCTATGAAGGTGGTGGTTGCCTGCCCCATGTGGATGTGGATGGGTGCTCTCACAAGGAGAAAAATAAGATGCTTGAACTCTCCAGCATGGCCTAGAAATCAGGAGAGAAGTTATGGAGAATTTAGCTAAGCTTTGGGGTTGCTCAGATGAGCATGGCTCAAGTGTACCATGGTTTTTCTTGCTCAGGTGAAGTGTGATCTTTCTATGGTTTTTCTTACTCAGTTGAAGCATCATTTTTCTAAATCACAAGTGCAGCAGAAGACCTGAAGGAATTGCATTTTAAATGGTGGGGGTCATGCTGAAAATTATTAAATAGACAAAAGAAGTTATCATGTGATTCATCTCCTCCCCCCAGTAACAGTTCTGGAAGCTAAGGCAGAAACGAAGGACAGATCATACTGGTATGACAGTGGATGTGGTGTTCTGTTCAAAGTTCAGAATTCCAGTGCATAACTGGGGAAAAGTCCTTGAATTTGCTGAGCTTGGGTTCATCCTACCCAATCTCAAGTGCTTTTCTTGAAGCATTCCCTTGCTCCAGATTCCTGCTGGAGCTAGTGGAGATGGGGGTAGGGCGGGGGGAAGGGGGCTTGAGAGAGCTGGCTCAGTGTTTCCAATATCCATCTATTTCTGCCACAGTGAATTTAGGGAAAGTCCAAATCTGAAGGTCAGCCCATGGAGTGAAGAGGGAGGGAACAAGCCTTGAGGTATACAGGCTTTAAACTGCAGTGATCCAAAGTCTGCTGAGGCTGACTGAAGGGCAAAGAGCTGAGGGACAGGGTGGTCTCTGCTTCCCTGTGCAGCCCTTGTCTCCTGAGAAATCCTCCTGATGTCTAATATAGCTGAATTTATTTTTTGCTGCTGCATGAGCTGCTTGAGCTGAAGGACTGCACAGTGCTAGGAGTGGGAAGGGAGGAGAGGTATGAGAGTGTGCTGCTGGATTAGGGCCGTTTACAGCAGGGTAAACTATCCCAAACACCTTGTCTTAATGAGGAAATGCTGGCAGAAGCTGGCTATGCCAGGGCACAAGGCAGGCAAGCACAGGCCTACCTGTACTACTGGTATAGGCAGATATTAGCCATCAGCTAGAAAATGTAGATTTCACTTCTTCTCACCCTTGAAAAATGCTCTTCTTCCACAGGGGTGGGAGAGTTTGTTTTTTTCTCACATTATTAACATTATTTACGACAAGTTTGCCACAGTGATCTTTAAGGGACAAATATGGCATTTCTCAGACACCAAAAAACCCTCTAAGACCATGTAGCACTACCCTCCCTCCCCAAACGAAAAACCCCTCAAACCTTTCTGTGTGATGGCAGGAGTCTGCCAGATCCACAGAGGATTAAAAATACCTCACCTTGCGGTCAAGCCTCTTTCCAACCCTGCTATCCTCTTTGAACACTTGGTCCTGCATTTAAGGCCAATCACTCCAAACTTTGACTTCTAGAAAGTAAGGCATGCTTCAGGTGGGTGTCAGCTCAGCTAACTTTTCCTACAAGTGTAATTGTATGTGAATCTGCCTGGGCTCCTCTTAGAGTCAGCTGGGAGAAACAGGCACAGAGAGGGCAAAATCTTGGGAGAAAAACCACATCAGTGAGGGTACTCTTCTTTCCACTGGGGCAGCCCAGGCCAATGGTGAGCCTTACAGTGTAGACATCCCAGCTTTGTGTCCTTGCTCTTCGCCCTCCATGTGCATGTCTACTGAAATGATAAGGGGGGTACCAGTGGTGGTGTCCCCTTTGGAGCTTTGTCCCCTAAGAAGCCAAGGAAGGTGCACTTCTGTTGGTTCAGCCCCATGGCACCTGTGCTCCAGTGTTATCACTGAATGCCAGGAGGACAGTGCAAGCAGGATGTTGTTAAAGAAGGCCA